GCAGGAGAGCAGTCGGCGGGACCTCCAACGGCACAGGACACAGGGCCGGCAGGACCCCCGGCAGGAGAGCAGTCGGCGGGACCTCCAACGGCACAGGACACAGGGCCGGCAGGACCCCCGGCAGGAGAGCAGTCGGCGGGACCTCCAACGGCACAGGACACAGGGCCGGCAGGACCCCCGGCAGGAGAGCAGTCGGCGGGACCTCCAACGGCACAGGACACAGGGCCGGCAGGACCCCCGGCAGGAGAGCAGTCGGCGGGGCCTCCAACGGCACAGGACACGGGGTTGGCAGGACCCCCGGCAGAAGAGTAGTCGGCGGGGCCTCCAACGGCACAGGACACAGGGTTGGCAGGACCCCCGGCAGAAGAGTAGTCGGCGGGGCCTCCAACGGGACAGGACACAGGGTTGGCAGGACCCCCGGCAGGAGAGTAGTCGGCGGGGCCTCCAACGGCGCAGGACATAGAGTTGGCAGGACCCCCAGCGGAACCTCCAACGACACTTGAGTAGGGACTTGAGTGGGAACTCAAGAGAGGGCTTGAGAGGGAACTCGAGAGGAAACTTGAGAGGAATGTCGAGAGGGAACTTGATCGGAGACTCGAGAGGTGACTCGAGAGAGGGCTTGAGAGGGAACTTGAGAGTTGACTTGATCGGAATCTCGAGAGGGAACTTGATCGGGGACTCGAGAGGTGACTTGAGAGGGAACTCGAGAGGTGACTCAAGAGGAGACTCGAGAGGGGACTTGAGAAGGAACTGGAGAGGGGACCTGAGAGGAAACTCGAGAGGGGCCTCGAGAGGGGACTCGAGAGGGGACTTGAGAAGGGACTTGAGAAGGGACTGGAGAGGGGACTTGAACAGGGACTCGAGAGGGGACTCGAGAAGAGACTCGAGAGGGGATCTGAGAGGGGACCTGAGAGGGAACTCGAGAGGGAACTGGAGAAGAGGCTTGAGAGGGGACTCGAGAGGGGACCTGAGAGGGGACTTGTGTCGGTCGGTACGCCGACAGGACACGGGGAGCTGGCGTCGGCTGGAGAGCCAACAGGAGACGAGGTGCTGGAGTCGGCCGGTACGCCGACAGGACTCGGGGAGCTGGTGCAGGCTGGAGAGCCAACAGGTGACGAGGAGCTGGAGTCGGGACCATGACTGCTGGGGCCGGTACTTGAGCCGGAACCATGGCTGTAAGATCCAGTTCTGGAGCAAGAAACATGGCTGTAAGGTCCGGAGCTGAAGCCTGGATCATGGCTGTGTGGGCCGGTTTTGGAGCCGGAAACATGGCTGTAAGGTCCGGTTCTGGAGCAGGGACCATGGCTGCTGGGGCCGGCACTGGAGCCGGAACCATGGCTGCTGGGCAAGGAACCGGAACACGGATCCATGGCTGTGTGGGATGGTACTGGAGCACGGTACCATGGCTATGTGGGATGGTACTGGAGCACGGAACCATGGCTGCTGGGGCCGGAACTGGGACCGGAATCATGGCTCTTGGGGCTCGGGCTGCTAGCCTGGACTTGCGACTCCTTCTCTTAGAAGCCGCCTGAAGGCTCCGTGGACCTCCAAAAGCCGGACGAGTTCCAGAAAACGACTCCTGGACAGGAGCAGGAACTGGGGCAGAAGCATGGGTTGACCCCAGACGGAACACACCGAGACGTCTGCAGTCGGCAGGCTGGAAATCACACATCCAGAGGAAGTTCAACATCCAGCCAGGTACGAATTTCACCAAGTCTGGTTTCTCCATAGCCAACCGGTCGGTGCGCCTCTACCAGAGCGGCCTCCCTCTGCCAAACACTGTACGCTCCACTCCACCAATCACAGCAGCAAAAGGGAAAATGCTGTAGCTCCACCTCAAATGGATCATCTGCTGGGTCCATTTCTGGTCAGTTCGTTCTGTTACGATCTCAGGCACTTAGGATGTTGGACCCAATTGAAGACAGGGAGACAGAGGTAAAGTATTGGTAAGATACTTTATTTTTCCAAAAAAACACGATGAACAAAAGAAGGTCACTAACTAATCTCAGGATGAGATGACAAAAAATGAGACCAAAAGGAAAAACGCTCACGTAGTGAGGAACAAAACTATTCTTGAGCATAAAAGAGCATAGACCTGACCATGGCAAGAGACAATATGAACTGACACTGAACACTGGGAGACAGGGGAATTTAAACACAGGGTAACTAGACACAGGTGGGAATAATCAGGGGCAGGGCTGACACTGATGAGCACAGGAGACACACAAGGAGTGACAGGTGAAAACAATCAGGAAATTAGACACACCAGGGAAACTAACGACAGACATGAAAACACAGGGAAAAGAGACCAGACAATATACAGGGAGGAAAACATGACAAGGAGAACGGAAAAACACCCACACCTAGACATGGACACGTGACATGACATAATAATCCTGACAATAACCATGGATTTACAGCACACTAGCCTGTACAGAATGTACTGTACTGCATTTCTGAACAAATATCAGGACAGTAAAGTCAATTAAACCTCAAAAGAAGCACATTTAACTTCAGAACAATGCTGTTAATCATATGGATGGTTCTTGGAAATCTTGCCAATTTCAGTGAACAAGCCAGAAAAATGTTCAATAAAAGGAACAATATGTGCAATCATTTTGTAGATAAACATGCAGTTTAAAAAGCAGTGGACAGTTCACTTCTTTGAGATTAAATTGGAATTACAAAAAACAAGGCCAGTATTTCATCTCCGCATGCTGATCACTTTAAGGGTTATGTGTTTGTGACTTTGTTCTGCTGTAGCGTCTGTAATATCCTCTGAGGCCATCATACTGTGGTTTTATGTGATCTGTTCCAGCTATTATGAGCCGCCTCCGGTCAGTGTTCTGCGCACATTATCTCATTAATGAGGATTAACATAATGTAGGTTGTTGCAATTTAGTAATCCAGGACTCCATTGTCAAAAAGTAGCTTAATCATATTTGAGACGTCTTTTGAAAGCCAATTTTTAGGCCTGGGTTAATCTACTCGGACCTGCTTTGGCTTTCATTTATAGCATGTATAGGTGTTATGGTTGTTCTGCACTTGATCCTGTGCCGAGCTTTATTGAGTGCTTGTGCTCTTTTTTCCGCAATGCCCTGCTTCTTATTCATACCGGTGCACACCTGTAATCTCAGGAGCTGACCCGGGGCTAGCACCGTCGTCCACCTACTGTATGGATGTCTGAGCGGATGAGGTTTGACCCTGCACTCGTAACCTGAGTTTGCACCAGTCGCACCTTGAAGGAAAACAAAAAGACTGCTGAAGATTTGTAGCAGCCATAAGTGCAATTATTGAAGCTCCATGTACCTGATAGCACTATTGCCAATAGTGCTATCAGGTGAAGAAAGTTCAACTTTGTTTTGTAGCAGGCTGCACAAAACTGAACAATGGCATGTCTAATTTGAAATTGCACACAATGCTTTATCTACAGGAGGCTGTGAATAATCGATAAATAAGCGCCTTCTAAGACATGACTAATCACACAACACATGGACAGATGTGGACAACTGTATTTCTCTCAAGAGGAGCAAAATATGTTTAGAATAAACACAGAATATATATTTGTTTATCATTTCAAAATAGTGACATTAAAAATGATGGGGGAGAACGGAGCTGGTCATGAAGTGCATAGTACGATTTAAATGGTTAGATTGAGTTTTTATAGGCCAAATCTTGTCTTTGGCATCCTGCTCTAATTTCTCAGAAATTAGCATGCACCTTTCCCTGAATGAACACAACAGGGCTGTCATTGGCCGTGACTTTCAAACTGACAAAAGGCTGCACTTGAAAAATATTAAACCTCCTCCTTAATTTATTCATCAAAATCAGTTTCTCTCTTCAAAACGCCCCCACTTAAACTCACATTAGTTTGACCATGGTAGCAGCAGCAACTTGCAAATAATACAATCATTTGTGTCGAGAAATATCACATTATGTGTGCTTGTATTCACATCACATTACTAAGTCCAGTCATGATAATAGCTCAGTGAGACTGCACCGTCAAGCACAGCCGAAGGCGTCTGTTTGTGATTAAAGTGGTTGGGACAAAAGGGTTCAGATGAAACATACATAAGGAAATAAAATGAGGATCAGAGTGAAGTGTTGGTAAAAAATTGCATTAAGGCGCATTAAAAAGGCATAGCCTAGAATAGAAAATACAAACATACTCAGCATGAAACACAACATTGTGGTGGGACCTGTGTCCTCTGTGTAAATGACATCTAGGAGCACAGCAGTGCTTTGAGGTCAATGCTAACATCGGCATGCTAACAAGCTCTCAATGACAATGTTTACATGGTAGTTCATCATTTTCGTTTTGCGTGTTAGCATACTGCCATTAGCAAATAGCACTAAACACAAAGTATAACTTATCTTGATGGGAATGTCATCAGTTATATCGTCATAAATCAAAACATAGGACACATTTTATTCACATGATGTTTGCGCTAAATGAAATGACAGAAGATCATCAAAGCTAGCATGAGTCATCCTGATGGGAAACAATTTAATCAGATCACATTCATCATAGGGGACTGAATGTAGGTCCTTGATTTGCCATTTCTTCCCCTCTGGGAATCCCTCCTTATCCTGAATATACTTTATCTGAAGCAAAAAGTCAAAGCAAACTTGACATTGCAGACATTTGGCCACGTAAGATAATGATCTCAGAATCAGAAACAGGTTTATTATTTAAAAACACTTCATTTTCCAATTAAATCATAAACTATGTAAAATTATTAGAAGTTGTTAGTCAGATTAAACAGAAAAAAGGGATGGAAGGAGGAAATAATAATCCCTCATCACTTGCTGCTTCCCTCATCACTTGCTGTTTGCGGTTTAAATGATCTCTTTTGCTGGCCAAACATGCTGGATGGAAAGCAGTGATGTCTCACTTGCCTTGGCCCTGCATCTGCAGTCCCTAAATCAGTCATGTTACCCATTGACTCTTGTCTGTTCTGGTGTTCCTGTTCATTGTTGTCTCCATTGTCGTTCTTGTCTGTTGTATCTCCTTCTTGTGTGTCCCTTTCTCCTGTTCTCCTTTCTTCATCCTCTACTCTGTTTGGCTCATCTGTGATGACTGTGGGTAAACACAAACAAGTATGTAAGTCAATCAGTTTCCAGCTCTGTCAAATAAATGAATTTCAAGATACACACATTTGTCTTCATTAAAATGAGTGTCACCACACTGTCACAAAATGTAATACTAACTAGGGATGCACGATAATTATCGGCCCGATATTAGGAATTATGACGTCATCCCGATAAACCCGATACCAGTATTAATAGCCCCGATAATATACAATATATTTTTTGGGTAAAAAAAAAGAAAAAAATACTGCGGTGTGGGTGGATTGGGATGAGGGGCGCTTGTTTTTCACTCGGCTCCTCCCGTTTTGCCAGTACTGTGGTATTAGTGGTTTAGGAAGAGGGGAGTTTTTCACAAATCCAGCGCTCCCTAACTCGTGAAGCCAGGACAGTAAATAAACATGTCGTCGGTGGTATGGGCGTTGGAGCTATGTGCAACTCAAGGCATATGCTCGAACCGGAGCTGCCTGGACGCTGCAATCATGTTGCGCACTATCCGTGCTGAGTGTGCTGACTTTTCGTACAATGTCCCACTGTCTGGCTTCCTGCATAAAGTCAAGTGCTCGGCGCAGTTGTGGCGAAATGTCGCTCCTCTGTTTTCATTTAAACAGCTCCGTATATCCGTTAGCGCAGCTAGCTAGCACCAGATGCTAACAACAACAATGCACATAAGGTCTCTCTCTCTCGCTCGCTCGGGCCACACATACACACACCCTCCCGGTCCTCCAGATGGCCAGTCGGTGACTACCGGTGAGCGTGGAAGTGTGGTCTGCCACAAGCGGGCGACAGGAGCGGGGCTGTCAGCATCAGCTTGTAGATGGTATTTTAAACTCGATGCGCTCTGAAACTACGGGGCGGCCGAGGAAAAAAAATACACATGCGTTAATCGCGTTAAAATAATTTGTGGCGTAAACATTTTTTTGTTATCGATATTGGTCTTGAGAAGCAGGAAGTTATCGGTATCGGTTTCAAAAAACCAATATCGTGCATCCCTAATACTAACCAATTGAAAATAGTTACATTTACATTGGAAACCTCTTGTAGATATCACTGTTAAGAGTAGTTATCTGCCAATAGGACAGAATCATTCCTATACAAATGCAGTTTGAGTAATTCACTTAATATATTCACTTAACACTTTAATATAGTCATTTTCACTTAATACTCTAATATAGTCATCTTTCTGCATTCAAAACTAAGGAAAGCTGTACAATTTGACATGATGAGGAAAAAAGGCCTCCGACAATGCAGATCATTTTTTGATCATATCAATTTTAAGATGGGGGTCAAGGCTTAATATTTGGGAGCATAGTGTCCCTTGCTCCCTTTCAGGAGCCCCACTGGATTGGCTTTGATCTGAAGTATTTGTATGAAAAGCTTGTTAGCTGACTGTCCATCTCATAATGTTCACATAGAAACTAGCTGTCAATAGGAAATATCATCAGAAGAATTATAATTTCATGCAAAAATCTGTCACAAAAAGAGGTTGCACATTTAAATTCAGGTGTTGTTATGGCAACGTCAGTGGCCACACAGCCACATTTACTGCTGCAAATACGTTCAAACATGCTGTCGACACGAAAAGCAGTGGCAACTATGCCACCATTTCAGCTGACTTTTTCTCAGAAATACTGTCACATAACATCCAGATATTTCAGTGCTAGGTTGATGCTTAGCTAAGCTAACTATGAAACACTGACAGGACTCAGGGTCAACTGTAAGGTAGCTTCTAGCTTCATGTCGAACACTGACAGTAAGTCAACATTTCCCAGAGAGCTTTCTTTGAAATCACCAAGTAACGCTAAAAAACACAACATTTAGATTGTATGACAAAGTGTTTATTTAATATATCTGGCTAGCTATAGCTACTTGCTAACGGTTTAGCTTACCCGCGCGATTCAAAGTAACGTCAACGTAGCTATAATTTATGCTTTGCTTACATGTTCTCATAACTTGTAAGTTTACTGACATTTACATACCTTGTTCACCTGGCTCAGGAGGTGGCTCTGGGGTTGTTGTGTGAGCCACCACTTGAGAATTGCCGTATTTTTTATTTTAAAAAAAATGTCCATCTTCAGAAACTCCGCGTCTGCGCCCGACAGTTTAAACACTGTCACAGACCTGTCAGACAATAAAACACGTTTATTTCCATGCAACTCTCTGGTCTGGTGGTGTCTTGCCTCTGTTGCATTCACTGAACACGGGAAATTACAAACCTGCCGTCCTCGAGGTAAAGTATGGTTAATCCATCCATCCATCTTCTTCCGCTTATCCGTGGTCGGGTCGCGGGGGTAGCAGTTCCAGCAGAGAGCCCCAAACTTTCTTTTCCCTGGCGACATCAACCAGCTCTGACTGGGGGATCCCAAGGCGCTCCCAGGCCAGCGAAGAGATATAATCCCTCCACCTGGTCCTAGGTCTACCCCTTGGTCTCTTCCCAGCTGGACGTGCCTGGAACACCTCCCTAGGGAGGCGCCCAGGTGGCATCCTAACTAGGTGCCCGAACCACCTCAACTGGCTCCTTTCGACGCGAAGGAGGAGCGGCTCAACTCCGAGTCCCTCCCTGATGACCGAACTTCTCACCTTATCCCTAAGGGAGACACCAGCCACCCTGCGGAGAAAACCCATCTCGGCCGCTTGTATCCGCGATCTCGTTCTTTCGGTCATGACCCATCCTTCATGACCATAGGTGAGGGTAGGAACGAAAATGGCCCGGTAGACAGAGAGCTTTGCCTTCTGGCTCAGCTCCCTTTTCGTCACAACGGTGCGGTAAAGCGACTGCAGTACCGCTCCCGCTGCTCCGATTCTCCGGCCCATCTCACGCTCCATTGTTCCCTCACTCGAGAACAAGACCCCGAGATACTTGAACTCCTTCACTTGGGGTAAGGACTCATTCCCTACTTGAAGTGGACAGTCCATCGGTTTCCTGCTGAGAACCATGGCCTCAGATTTGGAGGTGCTGATCCTCATCCCAGCCGCTTCACACTTGGTTGCGAACCGATCCAGTGAGTGCTGAAGGTCGCAGACCGATGAAGCCATTAGAACCACATCATCTGCAAAAAGCAGTGGTGCAATCCTTAGTCCACCGAACTGCAGACCCCCTCCCCCACGACTACGCCTCGAAATCCGATCCATGTATATTACAAACAGGATTGGTGACAAAGCGCAGCCCTGGCGGAGGCCAACCCTCACCGGAAATGTGTCCGACTTACTGCCGAGGACCCGGACACAGCTCTCGCTTCGGGAGTACAGAGATTGGATGGCCCTGAGTAGAGACCCCCTCACCCCATACTCCCGCAGCACCTCCCACAGTAACTCCCTGGGAACTCGGTCATACGCCTTCTCCAAGTCTACAAAACACATGTAGACCGGATAAGCGTACTCCCAGGCCCCCTCCAGGATCCTTGCGAGAGTAAAAAGCTGATCCGTCGTTCCACGACCAGGACGGAATCCGCATTGTTCCTCCTCAATCTGAGGTTCGACAATCGGCCTGACCCTCCTTACGGTTAATGTATTATATTATTGAGGGAGAATTTGTCCGGGGCTAAAGAAAAAACATCCGGGTCTAAAGCCATGGTTGGGACAAACGCGTTACAAACTAACGCGTTACTGTAACACAACTACCTTTTGCGGTAACCAATAACGTTACTAGTTACCTATTCCCATTCAGTAATGCCGTTATAGTTACTGTGATTTAAATGGGTGCGTTACTGCGTTACATTATGTGATCCAACTGAACCTAATCTCCCTGCGGATGTAATTTGCAGGCGAATACAGTGATGTCCTCTCACAGTACTATGGAAAAGTGAAAGTGACCAGAGAGGAGTGATGATTGGTTAACGCGGGGTAATATTTCAGGGTAAGCCAATCAGAGACAGAGTTGGGCGGGTCTTGCCTTATGGGGAAAATACACAGCCACACAAACACTTGCTAACACGCAACGCCCACCACCAGCACACACATACACACACACACACACACACACACACACACACACACACACACACACACACACACACACACACACACACACACACACACACACACACATACACGCACACGCACACGCACACGCACACACACACACACACACTCACACACACACTCACACACACACAATGGCAGATGCAAGTATCAGCGAGAGCAGCAGCGCATTTACAACTTGGAGATATAACCACTATTTTCAATTTGTGGGGATAAAGGACGCAAAAAATATTACGGTCAAATGTAAACTGTGTGCAGGACAGAAAGCATTGTCCACTTGATTGTTGAGGCTACAATAAAGATGCCTGTCAAAATGTCTAAACATATATTTTGTGTTTTATTGTTCCACTACATTTCATAATGATAATTGCTGGAATGATGGGGAGTTGTCTTTTCTCTTACTGTGCCACAGAACAACACAAAAACTTGTATTTGTATTGTTATTATTTTTAAAGTAAAGTAACTTGTTACTAGTTACTTTTATAATTTAGTAACTAATAAAGTAACTAGTTACTTTTTGAGAGCAGTAACTATAGCTATTACTATACTTTTTAAAAGTAACTTGCCCAACACTGGTTATAACCATAGGTTATAACTCATAAAAAACGAAAGGGAGGAAAAATGATATACGTAGCCTACAGTATAAATTAAGTATATGTGATTTTGATTCAGGGTTGTATTTTTATTTTGCTGTAAGTAGCCAATAGAGCTCAACAGACTAATTAAAGCAGGTCAGCTATTGTCCTGGAGCAGAAATAATAGCTCCAAGTGGCTGTGTTAAAAAATATATATTATGGTCCACTTTGGGAGAGAGCATCATAAGGAATTAATAAACAGTTACAGTCAGGGGAAAGCTCACTCACCTGTGGTCAGATCCCAGCAGAGCTCTCAAAGTTGAGTTGGATCAAACTCTGACTAACTCTCCTCGCAAGCTGAATTCTAATGATGGCAGAAATTCCATCTTTGGTGAGAAGGTTAGGTTACACAGTATCTTCACTCAATAGATTCAGATCAGATCTATTGTCAACCACGACAGTCCGCTGCAGAGAGTGACAGAGTGAAAGATGTGAGAGATGACAGAAAGTGATACTCTCTGTCTACAGACCGTATCTCTCACTGTTCCCTGCAGAGCTTTGCCCTGTTTCCATCACCTCACCAATGAGCACCTACACACCTGCATTAGAATTAACATTTTTCCGAACATGTCCTGTTTTCTTTTGTTTAAATGTTTTTGTGCTACGACTGATGTTTTTAATGTTAAAGATAGCTTTGTGTGCCATACATGTTGGTTTTTCCAACATGTTATTTTATTTTGGTCACAATTGTTATGCACTCAGTAATGAAACAAATTCAAAATAAAATAAATACTAGGGACCTGGTAAAAAAAAAAAGTGGAATATTTAAAAACTTTTTGGCCATGTGCAGTTTGATTAAAATTCAATAAACACACGTCTTTATTTAAAAGTAATTAAACTCAACTGTGCAGGTATTTTCTGTCGAAGAGTCCCTTAGATTTCTGTTTCATCCGATTGCCTCAAGTAACTCTAAAGATAGCTGTTATTGATTCTTCCATTTTACTAACTTTAACTTGAAATACTTGTCATATTTGAAGAATGAACATTAACGCTCATTCAGTTATTAAATAAACGTATAGCAGAGAGTGAATTATGGGGATGCACGAAATTGTGCACTGCAACAAAATGCTTCTGAGGAGTTTGTTTTACTCTCCTTAATGATTTAAATTTGTGATAAAAGGGGCAAAAAATTACAATATTTCTGGGAATCAGTTTGAAGTAGCTTTTTTTTTATGTGACAGAGTGAATTATCTTTGAAGGGAGGGACTATAGTGTCCCCTGAGGCACAAGCTGCGTTTGGTAAAGCGCACAGCGGATGTTATTTTCTTCCAGAGCTAAACATGTGCCACGGACCATCGCTCTTCATGGATTGAGAATTAATTATATTTCACGTTTTCCAGTTTTAAATCACATAATATGTGTTAGGAACTTAATGAGTGAATACGTGCTTTTGGAGAGTGCGCGAGTTTGTTTCCCAAGTTTGGAGACCAGACGCCAGCTGGAGAGTGTCGAGTGCCTCCATCACAACAAAAACAACGTCAACAACTACTAAAACATCTAGGCTTTTTAAACGGATCTCAAGATGAATGACACGGACGATTTTTGCAAAAACAACCAAACAGGGAACATGACCGACCCGTCATGTGTAAAACCAGCTCCCGCGTCCCACAGCCAGTTCGACCTCGTCACTTTCATGCACATATTGCCTTTAATTTACGGCATCCTGTGTTCAGTGGGAGTTATAGCCAATGGACTGGTCATTTACGCGGTGAAAGCATGCAAGAAGAAAATGGTATCAGACATATACTTGCTGAACTTAGCAATAGCCGACATGCTGTTCTTGCTGGTGATGCCGTTCAACATTCACCAGCTGGTCAGAGACAGGCAATGGGTCTTTGGAAGCTTTATGTGCAAAGCGGTGGTGGTCGTGGATGTCAGCAACCAGTTTACCACAGTGGGAATTGTGACTGTATTGTGCATTGATCGGTAAGTGTTAAATAACTCCATATCACAGACTTGGTTCCAATATTCGTCGATATTATATTCTAAATGACAAGGTGTTGGGAAAAAGTAAGATATATTTTTAAAGCATCCCATTATCACGTTTTGAAGATAATATAGCATATAGGCCTATAGGCTACCAGGGCTTCGGTTTGGGATTTTTTTCATTATCAGATAATATGACAATTATTTTCTCTATTAATCTTTTGGACTTGTTTGAAAATAGGAAAAGTGTTTTTTTAAAGTTCAAGATGATGTCTGTAAATGTATTTTTCCTTAAACCCAAAATGTATATTTTACTTTTAGCCTACATGATATAAAACTGAGAAAAAGCAGGAAATCTCCACATGTAAGAGGCTTTAAGAGGCTTTAAGCAGCATGTTCTGCAATCCCTGCTAGAAAAATGACTTTTAATTTATTATTGAAAAAGCTGGCAATTGATTTTTTTGTTGAACTAATCATTCTTGGAATAATTGTGACAGCTGCAATGTATTTTGTCGACATTTCATTTACTTTTAAGTATTACATATTCCCTGTTTCTCAGTGTAATGTACAGATGCCATTGTTAAAAAAAAGAGGTCACTTAGCAGCAGTCCATCTGAAGATACACTCATGGAGCAGGGTAACATCTGTGAAGCAGCCCATGAAGACCTAATATTCACCACATAAATGAAATTAGAGTCATGTTTATGATCTGAGCACATCAAGGACATTTTAATGAGTCTGTGTGCCAAGTGTTGGACTGATAAACATCTCCATTTGAAGGTAATCACCGGAGCAGGGGTTGCTCTCACAGCTTTAATGTAACACATCTTCAGTGTAACATAATGCTTTTCTGTAGGCCATTTGACCAGCTAATTGTGTTCTGAGAGCAGCACCTGCAGAGAAAAACAGCATTTACTTGTTCCATCACATGTGGTTATAGAGCACTTAAGTTTTGTTTGTTGTTTTCATTTCATCAAAAATATTTTTTAATCTAGCCTTGCCATTTCAACAATTCAGCTCTATCCTTTTCAATAACTTTAATTATAAGTTTTAAAAAGTCACAAAGGTTTGCTGAAGCAAATACTGGAAGGAAATCAAGAGGAAATTCAGCTCCAACGTGCTCAACACAAGAAATGATAGGCTGTTCTTCTGCTGAAATTAGGTCACTAATATAACCATTCACACCAGCAGACAAAAGAAAGCTAACATAAAGATTACTGACATTACAAAGAGAAAACATAATTACAATTCTTTCGTAGGGCTGTTTAAATAAAAAAAATTAAATCCGAATTATATAAAAAAGGGACTATTTTTCCATTTGACAGCTCTAATAATACTCCTCTGCTTCATGCCCGATCAAAACAAGAACACATTTCTGTCCAATGGATTATCCAAGTTAATGAGCGCATCAAGTCACATGGAAAAAGTTAACTTCTGATGCTAAACTTACAAAGTTATGTCTGTCCAAAACATGCACGTCTAGTTCAAACAACAACTTTCTCTAAATTTTAAAATGTTCCAGCCACCAAACAAACAATATAACTTTAACCAGTGGTGAAGAGAAAGCACACTACCAAGTACCAACAAAGACAGAGTTGCTTTAATCCACACAGGAAAGAGTTATTTCTGCATGTTCCACTTCGACTGAAGACAGTGTGTAATTTAATTTGATTTCATGGTTTCAAGTTATTTGGATATCAACATGCAGTGTTTCCCCTAGGATGGAGTCATAGCAGCGGTGCTAAGGCACGTGGGCCCAGCATAATGTGAGCGCGGAGTGCGTGGAATTTTTTAGTGTGTGCGCGTGCGAAGTGCGCCCCGGCAATTTGTTTCTATGTGTCTGCCAGCACAAGAAAGGCTCTTGAGGCCTAGTACCAGGGCCGGTTCTAAACAATTTGCTGCCCTAGGCAAGATTTTAGGCGAGATTTTATATATAAAGAATAAATGAAAAATCTCTACAAAAGACAAATACACTACAAAAACAGAAACTTATTGACATAGGTAATGTACGACAACATGGCTTAAAATGATTCAGTATTGTATGAACATGTTTGAATTGGGGGGTGGACGTCACCTCCTCTAGGGGGGTCCGGGGGTATGCCCCCCCCGGGAAGATTTTTTTTAACATTTTAAAGTAAAATGCTTCAATCTGGTGCACTTTGAGCACACAATTACTAGAGACTAGATCTAGGGGGTACAACTCTAAAACACCCATATGAAAAAGATCGGTTTACATTTTAATAACCAAATAAGTATGTGAACATAACCAATAACCTACCACAGCCAATAACAAATAAATGTAACTTATTTTATTTTTGTTGTTCATTTATATCTTATTTTACCTAGTTAACATTTATTTATTTATGCATATTTTTGTATCTCTCCAACTTTAAACGATATTTTTGGTTTACTGTCCTATAGTATACATTGGAATGATTTCAAACCTGTTTTTATTTATCCTAAGAAATATAAAGGAGTGCCTTGGAAATATGTGTAACACATATTTGTTTGAGACCCACTGAGATAACTTAGACTAAAATGAACTATCTAAACACTCAGAGAGTCCTTTACCTCACTGAGCCTCTCAGTCTGACGGGAGAGCTCTCCTCCACCCTGGTTGTAGAAACATCTACTTCAAGCAGAAAGGGCTATAAAGGCAATTCGTCTGAAAGACAACAAGATAACCTACCACCCAAAACAGATTAACCAGACTTTTTATGAATTTTATAACAAATGATACAAATCTCAAAGTGATTACTCACAAGATGAACTGGACAATTATCTCCATAACATCAATTTACCTACATTATCTGATTTAGATCAAGAGTATCTAAACTCATCAATTACAGAAGTAGAAGTTTTGGCTGCAATTAAATCTATGCCTATAAATAAAAGCCCAGGGCCAGATGGCTTCACGGCAGAATTTTATAAAGAGTTTTGGACTGAACTTCAACCTATATTTATGTCAATGGTTAACAACTTCTAACAGAACACTTCCTCAATCAATGAATCTTGCATACATTACTGTACTACATAAAGATGGGAAAGACCCCTTGAATTGTTCTTCATTTAGGCCTATAAGCCTCTTGGATCATGATTATAAGATTATCACCAAATTATTAGCAAAACGACTGGAAATTATTTTACCTAAACTAATTAGTCCTGATCAAACAGGTTTTGTCAAGGGCAGATATTCTTCTGATAATATAAGGAGACTTTTGAATATTATAAACCATTTGGACACGGGTCAGAAGCCATCTCTGCTTCTTTCTTTAGATGCAGAGAAGGCTTTTGACAGGGTTGAGTGGAATTTTCTTTTTGCTATCTTGAACAGGTTAAATATGGGCTCTCGGTTCATAGAGTGGGTCAAATCAATTTATAAAAATCCTAAAGCAGCGGTTATTACTAACTGCAGTTCCTCAGATTGTTTTCCACTAACAAGGGGGACAAGACAGGGATGTCCTCTGTCACCTTTGCTTTTTGCAATTGTAATTGAACCACTGGCGTCATGTGTGCGAGACAACATAAGTATTAAAGGAGTGGAGATTAACCAGCCTGTCCTCCTACAAAAAACGACCATATAGGTCGATTGTTCAGCAGCTAAATACGACCCAGAGTCACGTTTTAAAGTGTAGCACCTCTAGTGGTCGTGTAAGAAACAACATGCTCCTGTCGATTGCAAACGCTCCGGAGGGTCGTTTATTCACAAATTACCCTCTGGAAAATCCTAAATTGTGGAATAGTTTGGCCATTAAAATGCTTTTTTATTAGATTTCTAGCGAGAAGTGTATATTGTACTTTTATAATCTACGTCCAGTGGATGTGTAGGATCTACAGTTTGATAGATATACGAAGATAATTTGAGGTCTCGCCAGGAGAACGTGTACTGTATATGGGGCAGCTTCTATGTAAAGTTAGCATGGGTGAAAACAGTATTTCCGGTCTCGAAGTTTTCATAATAAAACCGGAAGTATTCCCCACACTGTCAAATGATCTCCATTACTCATCCACTTAAAAACATCAGTTTATCCTTGTTAATTACACAATATTGATTGGTTTAAATTGTGTACAATGCTTTTGTGTTTTTAACCTTCGATTCGGAAAAACAAATAGTTTTTTCGGAGTTTAGACACTACAGAGTTTCCGAAGACACTACACTACCCAGAATCCCCAGCTATCGTTTGGGACTACAACATCCGCCTTGCTTTACAAACCCCGTGATTAGCCCTCAAGCTCTGTGATTGGATGTTGGAGTGGCAGTGCGACAAGGTTACGCCGAATGTCAAACAGCTCTTTGAAATGGAATGGAACCACGCCAGACTATCCAAAACTGGACTTGGACGGGTCCAGCCCAGCCCTCCCCCACAGAATTACACATGCTGGCTATTGTGTGTTTCGCAATATGTTCTATGGCACGTCTCTACTGGGAATTGTAGTTTTATAAGACGTTTTCGTATTTCCCACAATTAGAAGTTGCCAGTATTAAACTGTATACATCCCGGGAGGTTTAGGGGATACGAAACACATTGGTGTTATCAAATTTAAAACATATAATTAATACATGGGTGAAAATTGCTTGTGCCATAATGGGCAGCATTAATATACCCACATGACAGCTAAGGTCAGAAGAGCTTTATTTAACAGCTGGTCTTATGTCTGTGACCCCTCCTGTTGTTAATTGATAAGCCTGAAACATGCACTTGTCAAGGTTCAGATGCACATTTAGCAAATATGGCAGTAGCCATCGATCATCTTAAGATAAGATACTTTATTGATCCCAATTTGGGAAATGTTTTTGTTACAGCAGCATGTACTACTTTGTTCTACTCCACTACAATTCAGAGGTCAACCTGGTATTTTTACTCTACTACATTTATTTTTGTTACTTTGCAGATTCTGATTAATGATGTGAAATATAAACAACCCTTAAATCAGACTTTCGTTACACCTGAGTAAAATTCAGCCTTATCAGTTTGTCTGTTTTGCACATCCACCTGTTA